ATAAAAAACTATATATAGCTCAATATAAAGGACTTTCCGATACAACAACCATCCAAAAAACTGGATTACTCTATTCAAGATAGATTTAAGATTATTGGTCGGGCTGGAGATTCCTTCGATTGGATTTATTGTCTATTATAAAAGTCCACCCTGTATTTCTATCTAATAAACTCTATAAAGCGATAGACGATCCATTTTCCGAACAAATCCTCAAACCACCACCCCTAATAAATATCATTAATAATACCAAATAGAAAGTAGAGTGTATTCTAGCTATAAAGAAAGTATACCGACAGCTTAAATACAAAATATTATAACTGAATACCAATAACAATCTCACCTAATACCCCATTTTTGACTTAAAAACTACTCCACACCATCTCCATGATTTCCATTTACGAAATCCCATTCTATCAGAATCCCCTGTGCATTTACCGGAGTGAATTCATCTCTATAAAAGTGAAAAGGATAATTACGATTTCACAGACAACAATCAATGTATAAATGAAAAAGACAGAAAGAATTTCTTTAATTTATTATTATAATAAAGAAAATCCTAATTGTATGAGAGGTTGAAAGCGATTGGATAAAAATGAAATATCAATAAAGAAAGTCTTTTCCCTTGCCTGATAGATTTAAATCAAACCAGAAAGAAAGCCTTTACGGGTATCAACGGTTATGGTCGGGCGAGGCACGATAGCAAAGATTGGATAGTTTAAACCGAAATACTAATCGAGTTTCTAGTCAACAGTGATGACAAGTATATACAGGACAACTATAAACTGAAAGACAAGATAATCCTTAGTTGCAGTACGCGTAATAATAAACCAAACTGGCATTCAGTCACACCTAATTGCTTGCGAGCTATCAAAAGCTTTGTTTTTATCTGAATTATGATAAGCTAATATTGTTATTCCAATTCGTCTCCCCGTATTGTAATCTCTGTTATACGATGCTTTGCAGCTTTCGAGTAAAAATAAAAGAAAGTATTTCTTTCGAAATACAACTCTTTAGCTCCTTTTGTATATTAAACTATCTCAAGAGTTAATTTTGCTAAAAACTAGCAAAGTTATAACTTATCTTTATTATATTGCCGTATTCAGTAACAGCCGATTGGTATTGGAGAAATATCTTGTGTGTATCCCTGTCAGGCAAGCGCTTACACTTATACTGCCAGCCAGACAAAACAGATAGTGAGATTGACCAAACAATTGTTCAGGAAGTCAATAGCAAACACCATCTCCTTTATCAAAAACATAACTATATATACAGCCAGCACAAATCCAGTTGTTTTCCCGAATACATTGTTTCTATTGTAATATTATCTTTTTTAGTAATCTCTTACTTGGAGATTCTCATTTGTTGATATTAATAAAGCTAATGCCTTTATAACAGGGTATATCGAATTTGCGATCAGGTTGACTTTGATATAAGGCCTTTAGAATGTCTTTCTCAACTATTTCGCTATCATTTTCGAAATCACGAAAATGATATACTGCTGTGATCAATTTGTTAGCAAACTTCTTTTTGTAATTATCAATATAATCGATTAAGGGATTATATTCTTCCTCCGAATTTTGCCTCGGAAAACAATAGAATGGATACATCCAATAAGCATATCGAAAATCGACCCCACTCTCAGGCATATTGCCTTTGATATCTATAATCGTATTTGTTAAACAAACCAACCGCAAGCCGAAGATACTAAAAGAAAGCTTTATTTATATATGTCTTCGTTGTCTAACCTATCTTCCTTATCATTCTCTTTCTTGCTAATAGGATTACTGCCATTCTCGTTATAGCTCGACTCCTCCTTTTTCTCAACAGGACACTTACCTCGTATAACAGAAAAGGCAAACGTTTTCTTTGTTATAAGCTGTAAAAAAGTATATTAGTAAAGCAAATATAAAAGAAAAATAAACAACTTATCACTATATGTATATTCTCCCATTGCTTTAACTATATTGGCAACAACTTACTCTTACTACTGCATTTTCTTGATGGTGTGGAAGGCATATTGATTATTGATTGAGGGATGTGAAGAAAATAAATAACCGAAAAAGATTTAAAAGAGAAAGGAAAATTCGGGCAATCTATATATTTCGAAGGCTTTATACTATTATTAGGCTACAGGATGGTTTCCTCTATTTCCTATACACCTTCCTATCGCGAAAAAAGCAAAATTTGCATATATATCTGTTTACTATATTATGCTACAATATAAACAACAATATCTTATTAGAATTGCCAATGTATCTACAGATTAAATAATCGTGAAGCTTGAGGGCAAGCTTTTTCGAAAGGGGGAATAGTGTCATGGATCACATCCAATCGCAGTTGCGATCGCTTACGTACATGCTTACACATATACACAATCATGTGTATATAATTAGTATATAGGAGTGCTCTACGAGCGCTTTGCTCCCGATTCTGTAGTTGTAGATTCTAAGGATAAATTGTACCCTGCTCTCGCAGTTCTTCTAAGGCAAAGTGTCACAATTTCTCTCTAGCCATTTCTCATTTATTATCTCTTACTTATTGTTAGAAAAGGTGCTTATACCGCATATCACGCTATGCTGTATCGGGATTAGCCCGCATGTGACTCTGTCGAGTCCATACATATATATCGTATCTCTATGTAGAACTTAATAATATTAAGGCTTTTCCACCAACTCATATATGATCTTCTAACACTTATTATTATATCAAATTATTAATATATTAATAGAGTATATTTGTATTCTAATAAACTCCCTTATAAAATATTCAATTGTTGATAATGTATTGTTTGGAGAAATCTTGTTTCTTGGAATTCTAATATTTTGAAGCTAAAGAGAGAGAGTGATATCAAGCTTTCTGGATCTAAAAAATAATGGATCTTTAATAAAAGCTATAATCCAAAAAGATATGGATTTTGGATTCCTAAAGATGGGGTGAGATATAAGCAAGCTTGGAATTTATTCTATTATATAGAATAGAAAGAAGATCTCTTTCAATTTCTTAAAAAATTCAAAGAAATATTAGAAGCTATAACAGAAAATAATAATAAATAAAGAAACCCTGATAATTACTTTCTATTCTAATTATATATACTTATCAAATTCTATTTCAATACGGTATTGCTTTTCTTTCTCTCACACTTTTCGAACTCTTTTTATTTTACAATAATCTCTCCACATAGCCTCTACAATTTCTTATCAAAAGTAGTTTATAAATTATAACGAAATAGAATCTAATTCATTATTACTTGAATTCATTATTATATTATCTATAATGCTTGGAATATAATCAATAATATAATCAAATTGAACTTCGAATAGATTTTCTTCAAAGCTATTTTATCGAATAAAGTTATATAGAGTATATAAAGCATAAACTATATATATTTGAATTATATATAGATATTTTTATTGTTGTATTAGAAATGGAAAGTGCATTTTGAATACTCCAAAAATTCTTTTAACCTCATTTTATAAAAAAGAGTGTCGAAGGTTGAAAAGCTCTTCTAATGTTTTGAATATCTTATTAAATCCCAATTGCTCTTATAAATGATATCTTACCTCTTTGAATAGAATAAGAATCTACCCAGTATTTATATATCCTATATTATCTAGATAATAATAATCTTCTGGAATTCATAAACCTTTTGAAATCAAAGTATTTGAAAGTACCTTTTGATTATTCACAAAACCTTCCCAACCGATTAATATATAGCAGAATTGTAAATTGAAAGTAATTACTACAAGAATATTCTGTGCAGTATACCCTTTTCGATTGAAATAAGCAGATCGATCTTCGAAAGGTATTGTTACTGAAATAAAGGTACTATTGAAAGCTCCTAGGCAATTCGCAAAATATATACGATATTTTTCATCTTCTGCTACTCAAGAAAGAGCGAATTGTATAGCTGGATCCAATAGTTTTACTACTAATAGGTATAATATTATTATAGCATTTAAAACTTGATAAAACCATTTTAAAGCGTATTAGAATAAACTAATAAGTAGATTTATATAAGGTGTTTTTCGTATCTATAGATTGTTTCTTCAGAATAAGAAAAGGCTTCAGCTATACTATATATAGTTCCATGCTGGCCTACAATATAAAGAAATACATATAGCTTTTGATCAATTGAAATATATTGAAAGTGTTATAGTTTTGTTTTTTCATAACAAAACTCAATCAAAAATCGAAAAGTGCATAGAGATATATATAGTTATTCTTGACAACATTAAGGATATTTAGAATCAAGAAGAGATTGTGTTTTAAATTCACCAGGAATACCAGTTCTTTTTTTCGAAATTAGAATATAATAAAAAGAGCCAATAACAGCAGCTAAATTATAAATCAAGATAGGAATAAACTATTCAGAATCATTAATCTCATCATCGCTCATTGTAAATAAGAAAAAGACAGTTTACAATCTAAATCATTAATAGAATCTAAAGCTATAATAAAAAGAATATTAAAGAATCTACTTTTAAACTAAGCTATATATATTCTAGTATATAAGGAATAAAAATATAAAGTAATCGAAATCGAAATCAGAGACGATTTAAAGAAAAATAAAGATACCCTATAAATTTAGGTATTTGAAGTACTAATATCATTATAATACTATATGGATATAGGGTGAAAGGCCTATAAAAACCTATAAAAACACGGATTATTTGTTAGATTGAAAACGAGGACTACTTTTTCTAATCCTCGTTTTCAATCCGCACCCTTGTTTTCCTATACAAATTTGGTGAAAACACGGATTATTTAGTGTCATTTTAGAATGATCCACCTCCTCCCCACCTCGAAATATACTAAATTCATTGAAATACGGATTATTTAACGAAATCCGCAATTTGATATTCAAATATGAATTCAAAATCCGTTTTCAAAAAGAGCGGAATATTCAGCGGATCCAGTGCGGATTTGTACATCCAAACTAGCCCTTAGCCAGAAAAACTAAGAACTTTGAAGCGCGAACCCCCCAGAACCTCACGGCACTCATGCTTGCAGCAGAGCGTAATGAAGAGTCTGCGAGAATTTTGATCGAACATAAGGCTGACGTCAACGCCAAGGTTCCTCTAGACAATGAGTTCTGGAAGGGATGGACACCTGTATTTTTTGCTGCTCAATCAAACAAACCAGCCACGGTCGCTTTGTTAGCAGAGGCCGGTGCAGATCTCAAGCACAGGGCCAAAGATGGCAAAAGTGCGCTACACTTGGCAGTGGACGGCGATGCTCTGAGTAGTTTAATGGAGTTTCACTCACAGATCGACTTAAACCAACCAGACAACCAAGGATACACGCCCTTACATATGATGGGAAGTCTCACATTGAGGAACGTTCAATATCTCGTTCGAGGAGGTGCAAAAATCAATATTCAGGCAGATGATGGATGTACACCGCTACAAGTTGCGGTAAGAGGCAATAAAAATAGCGCGATAGAAATTGTATCTTATCTGCCTGAACACGGGGCCAGCCCAAACTTATCTGGAACTGAACCAGGCAAAGATGATCCGCCTCTTCATCGTGCATGCGACAATCTGTCGCTGAAGCTTTCAGAACTGCTGGTGGAGAATGGTGCTAATGTTAATAAATCTTCAATTGGCCCTCTAGGAACGCCACTAATAGCAACATGCTTGAGAGTATATACCCAGGAAGAGTCTGAAGGCAAAAATACGGAGGACCTAATACGTTACCTTCTCGAGAAAGGTGCTGACATCAATGGAACACATAGCCGCTGGGGTTGTGTATTTGGCGTGGCTTCGATGTTCATGAAACCAAAAATAGTCAACCTACTGCTAGAGAAAGGGGCGTCGGTTCATACCCAGGACTTTTGTGGCAGGCTGCCCATTCACTTAGCTGCTATTCACGGTGGCAAAAATCTAGACATCGTCATTGAAGCCGGCGGTGATGTTACTGCCAAAGATAAGCTCGGTCGCACGGCGCTTCACTACGCCTGTCAAGCAGGCCGGTCGAGTACCGTCAAGAAGTTGTTAGATCTTATGGGGCAAAAGAAGGCGAACGAAACGGATATTGACGGTTGGACCCCTCTACACTGGGCAGTACGGGGTACAGGGAATATGATAAAAGAATGGGAAGCTGGTGAAGCTGCTAATGAAATTGAAACTATTAGAATATTGATAGAGCGCGGTGCGAATAGATGTGCCCAATGTCATGTCAGGGAGGAGTTCTGGTCACCGCTTCGGATTGCTAGTTATAGGGGAGCTGATGACAGTGTTATTGCTCGCCTCGAGAACTCTGGTGGCCCTAAAGAAGACGAAGGACTCGGCGGAACATCTTCAGAAAATTCTGGACAGTGTGGCGCGAATGTTTCCAGCCCTAAAAAAGCCTATCGTAGGATCGGATGGGCTTGTGATGGATGTTTATGGGTAGATCCCCCCTCACCCCCCAAACCCCCTTTTCACCAGATGTTATACAGTACAAACATTTGCTTCAAGTCAATAGACAAAATACTTGCTTATTATTATATAAGTAATTCCAATATAGTTCACTGACGTCAAGCTAGGAGATATGGGGCTTGTGCTACGAATGTATTGTGTGTTTAGATTTATTATTTTGTGCCAAATGTTACGACCACCGAGATATTATACACGTCGAATTTCCTGACCACGCGTTCAAGGAACATGGCCCCGAGTTTGAGCACGATGACTCGAAATCGAATAGCGGGGAGGCAACAGATGATGATAGCAGGTCAAGCATCTCAGAAAGCAGTGGTTCGGAGGCTGAGGAGATGACTAGAAATGAATCAGAGGAACCCGAAGAACTCGTAGTACTAGGAAATGACCACGAGCAAAGTGATTCTGATGAAAATGCTGATAGTAGCGAGTCGGAGGATGACAACTAGGCAGTGATTGTTTTATAAGTATATAAGTTATGCTTTGAAGGTTAGGCTTGACGAGTACAATGATTAAGACTTTACTTTCATCTTCATGTGTATGTGAAATGATGGTGATTTCTGCTTGCCGCAGGCCATTCAAAAAGTATACACCTCACATAACTCTTCATCGATCTACCTACCCACCGCCCAAACAAGCAAATATAGACAGGCATAGGAATAGCAATTCCTCATGTCATAATCAGAAACTTGTGGAAAAGAAAGCACACATTAATACTCAGAATAATCGGAATAAGAGAGAAAAAATCTATTTCGTCCTGTCCACCATTACAAGCAAAGTAAGATGCGATGAAAGTCCAGGTAGGTACCCAGAGTGAAATCCAACATAACCCGACCCTCCATATCATGACCAGCTAGGTAAGATCGAAGTAGGATAGAGAAACAAAGGTCATTGGAAATTGTGGAAAGAAGATACCCACAGCAAAATATCATTGAGATACAATACGTTCTTCAGTTCGTAAAGCTTCTCTCTGTAACTCACCATGAGCCATCTCCTTCATTAACCATTCTATAACACAAAACCGCGGTTCAATTCTGATCAGAAAATGTGTTTCTCATACAAAAATTGCGCAATACGCAGAATCTCGGAGATATTTTCTACATATCAAGACCGCTGAGTTAAATCCACTATTTACCTTTTCACTTCTCTTTTCTTTCTATGCATCAACAGTTTAAATGCAGTAGAATTTCAAACTTCAGGGTATTACTCTCCCATAACCATACTTGATTGTGATGTAGTGATATTGATTCTTTATATCTTTGATCAATCCTTAGATGGCTACGCCCACCGGTTCTGCATCCTAGAGTCTATATATAAGGTATGTGCAAGATAGAAGCATGCTATGAGTTTATAAGATTCATAAGCATCATCGTAAGGGCCACCCGATTTCTTCTTTTCCTCTGGTATACCTGACTGTTTAGTTTTCCTTACTTTTAAATGATCATCGTCCAGTGCGATGACTTCTTTGGTCTTCATGGAATGGATTCATTTGTTTATTGAATATATTTCGTGTTTATTGGCGGCGGCTTCTCACCAATTTGAGTCTCCCTCGTCGTGAGGAAGAGCATGCATGAGGCCATCAGGGCAGAAGGGCGAAAGGGAAAGAGAAATTTGTGTGGTTATGTGGCACACAAGTCACGAGGACCAAAACAAGATACTGTATAAGATGAAACATGTAAATCATTCCATCGTGTATAATTATCTCCGTAGAAGCAACCGTAGAGCAAGTTATCTAGATACATTCCTAAAAAGTACGATATCGAGCCAAGCCATGAATAATGGGCTAGCAAGCACAATGGCAAGACTCAAGAAACAAGTGACCATAGTCTCGTCAACATGTAATTGACTACGAAAACCCCATGCCATCCAGAAATGGATAAAGGGCAACAAATGAAACCGCCATATAACCGAAGAACCACTTTGAAAACAGGTAGGATGAGCCAAAAGAACCCCCATCAAGCAACCAGCATTTACCAATTAACCTGAAAAAAACAAGGAAGCAAAGAAATACCAAACACCCGCTTGAGAGTCAAGTCACAACCAACTATTCATCATCAACCTCATCAACGGCAACAGGCTTCTTTCCCTTTCTGTCCTTCTTTGGAACCTGAACACTGGTAGCCAGAGACTTCGAGCGTTTCAAAGTCGATCGTTCATCAAAATCAAAGAACTCTCGTCCATTTCGATTCCAATTAGATTTGCAACCACCAGGTGCTCGATGAATGCCATGGACAGAAGCAAGTTCTTCCGAGATGTGCTTCCAGAGAGGAGCATCGTAGAGTTTAACAAGATCAGGGTGCTTAGCTTCAACTTCTCGACGTTTGACAAGACATTCGTAGAGCTTGAATGTTTCGTCATCGGTCCAGGCGGCGCGACGGGGTTTACTGGCAGTACCACTTTTGCGAGAAGATCGGGGTGTTCTGCGAGGCTTGGAGGATGCTTTGCGACAGCTCAAAGTAGAAGAAGCGGAGCCAGATGTAGTGACTGGGGGAGAATAAATTAAATCACTAGTAGCTGAGGCAGATGAAGAAGCCGGTGTGTGAACAGATGGCTTAGTGACAGACTTCGTGCGCTTCTTGGTTGGCCGATGACTGGACTTAATATAATCTTCATTATCATGAGACTCGTCATCATCGTGTTCTCGCTTTCTATTAAGGGAAGATGGACACGAAGTAGTTTGTGGCGATGCGGGCAAGATGTGTTTTCCACTGGAAGATTGGCCTGGACATAAGATGGTTTTCCCACCAGAATAGTTCGCTGGTACAGTTGTCTTTTGCTGAGAAGGTGGTGGTGTAATTTGATTGCTTGTACCAGAAGATTCGCCGTTATACTTCTGTGATGAGTGCTCTTTCAGAGAGGCTTCGATGGTAAGAGTGAGCTGTTGTTCGTAGGATAGTCCATCGAAGTTGGTAACTGACTTCTCGACATAATCTTCATCGTCTAAATAATCGTCATCGGAAATATTGGATGTGCCTCTAACGAAATCCTCTGGCTCGGATTGGTATTCAGAGTAGTCGGCATCTGAAGACTCGTACTCAAGCTGGTTGACAAGTTGATCGGTAACAGGAGATTCTTGCTGAGAAGCCTCCAGCTCGGCAGTCTCTCCACAGGGTTGTTTTTCGACAGGCACTTCGTCAAGTTTTGCAAGTCGAGCTTTGAGCGCTTGCTCTACAAGGAATTGAGGGTGTATTGCTGCATAAGCAAAGGGCTTATCAAACGGGCGCGCACTCTTGCCTTTGCCACCAGTCGTAGGGGCTGGTGTCTCGTATGCAGAAACATCTTCGTCATTCGGATTGATGTGAAGACGATATGCGTGGTGGAGATCTTGGCAGACTTGATGTTGTGTTAGCTCCGGATCAACTAAGGCTTCGTTAACTAAACCATCGGCTGTGCAACCAAATTGGCTAAGATTATCGTTCAACCACTGCACTCCGCCTTCCTGAATATAAAAGAAGGATGCTATGACAGACAGAGCTTTTTTCGCAGAGTCCTCGTCCATATTCGCGAAGGAAAATTCGGTAGGCATGGTGAACACCATGATGAAAGAATAGGTATGGATTACAATTGAGAGATGTGAATTTAGAAATTGGTATGTTCAAAATGTACGATTGAACGGTCACAGGAAGAAGCTATCCAAGAATACAAGAAGAGAAGAATATAGGTAAAATTCTACCAAGCATACCATGGGTTTGAAGCTATATCCAGACAATAGAAGGTCTATTGACTCTATTGTTCCCATCGACATGCTCAACAAGGTGTTCGCCATGATCGTAGCGAGAGCAATTACAATAGGGAAAATTGAATTGTGCCGAAAAATTCTGCAACGACGACAGAATTTTCTCGCTACTGATTATTGTTTTCAAGAGTGAATTGACCTTGCAAGTACAATAGGAAAACTTTGCCGGTAAGACGCGAGTTGAGCAGAGATAATGGAACAATAGAGACTTGGGACGCAGATTCACTGGTATTGTATTGATTTGGATCCGCCGAAGGTGAAGGATAAACTGGAAGGCCAATGAAGACTTGCGCCTCTGAGAGATATGTAGAAGGTGAAATTCGGAGGGACTGCATCGCATCATTATACTAAGGTGTAATATTGATGCTACAATAGCTGTCTAGGATAATTGTTATCATAGTATTGAAGACGATGATATACTAGAAGGAGGTGGTAGGTCCAACAGATATGGTATATCGAACAGAGGTAGTATATCGAAAGGAGATATTACGTTGGAAGGAGGTGGTATAGGTATCGAAAGAATAGAAATATAGGACGAGTAATCCCAAAAATAAATCCAAATACTCAGACTTCAACACACTATGTGGAAGCGTTCGATTCAATTGTAAAGGTTATCAGGTCCTCGAGAATGAACGATGGAGGAGTTCAAGAAGGGTAGAGGCCAGCTGATCACGTGCCAAATACCCACGTGATCCCACCCACTTTCGACTTTCACATGATGCTCGAAAAGACCAGACAGCATCCACGTAAACCAGAGCAAAGACATCAAGAAAAAGTTATTAAGATGCCTGTGACTATCAAGCAAATATCAAAGAAAAGATAATTCATACAAAACCACTCAATCAAGATGATTTTGCAACTTTTGGGGCTGTGATTCAAAACCCCGCACCAGCGGTGATCCCATCATCAACGATCAAAACCTTACCACCAAATGCGGTACAAGCCAACCAAGGTACCGCGCTCAAATACCTAGATGTCACGCATATGAAGGATTACTACGGGAGCGCTCCTAGTCAACGGGTCGCGAATGCAGTCATGAACATGTTTGTATGCGCACCTCGTTCGCTTCTCCCGTCTCACGATAGCAATATCGGGGGGTTATTTCCGGTCACCATACTGGAAAGACATCCTTTCACGACTCAAACATTCATACCTCTCGGGATATCACCCTCGGAGCAAGAAGATGTATGTTACTTGGTTGTCGTAGCACCGAGTTTAACGCCGTCATCAGTCGATGAAACCTTACCTGTCCCCGTTCTCTCCCCCCAAACAAGCACGAGTGATGATAATGTTGAGAACCTGCCCGGTCGCGGTTTACCGGACCTGAATAGAATTCAGGCTTTCTTAGCGAATGGTTCACAGGCGGTCACCTATGGAGCGGGGACCTGGCATGCTCCGATGGTGGTCGTGGGGAAGAAGCCCATTGATTTCGTCGTGGTGCAATTTGCAAATGGGGAAGGAATTGAAGATTGTCAAGAGGCAGAGCTGGAGACAACGGATAAGGATATATGCGTGGCAGTCCCCAAGTTGTCAAGGAATGCGACGTGGAAATTATGAGTGCTTTCGGGTCTAGATCTCGATTTAGAATGAACGGGTACAACAAAATGACGTTCTTGTTTGCAATAATTACAAGTGAGATCTTCAACAAGTATCTACGCCTCATGGATTTTACTACCAGTCCCATTCTTTGCAATCCCGTGGTAGCAAAGACGTTGATGCACATCATCTCCATTACCTTGGTAACTATTGATCGTTATTGCTTTGGATTCAGGATAAAGTAGCACCAACGTTGATGAAATTTCAGGTATCTTTGGTATTTAATGTAGGTCGGCGACCTAGACTGTCGACCACGATATGTACCTATAGAGGTCCCCGATACTTCTGCAATGGAAGACTACAAAATTTTACATGTACATAAGAACTATGAGGATAAATAGAATGCCGTCCCAATGTGGGCAGCCCCCCAGATCTCGATGATTCTAATTGACAATGTATTCCGAAATGATACTCTCAGATGAAATCCGAATCTCTGGAGTCACAAAGTAGCGTTGCAATGCAGAAAGACCAAAAACCCGAGCGACAACATTATCGATATTGACCGCTGGAAACATCGAGTGGTAGAGAACGAAGGGGAATGTGCACTAATCATCGCAAAATTCACTCGTAAATTCTACCAATAAGTGAGACCTGTCTAAAGGTACCCCAGTATCCTTTAGGCATAGGAATACCGTACAGTGTACTTGAATCGCAAATAATCTGTCTACCGTTTTAAACGCCAAAATAATAATGTCGGCGATGTCTTTAAAAATTGGGGGGGAAACGTGAGAAGGACTGTCCCGTCCAGCCACTCGCCTTTTTGGGGATAGAGGCTAGAGCGGCTCATCAGGTGTGTATACATCGAGTAGGATTGTCGGCTTTCCACCTCGTGGTATATTGCTGATACTCCAAAGAAAAGCAACATTTTCTAGAACCCGTTATGCTTGCTTACCACCTACCAAGTTGTAGATTGGCGAGACCTCTTGTCCAAAAGGTTTCTGCAGATCCTTTCCGCCTTACCGGTTTAGTTTGGCTCTTCTAGGCCTTTTTGAGGGTTTCATTTACTACTGTACTTGATCGCATGCTTACCTGTGGGTAATGAAGCAGGTGAGGGGATAGCCAATGAATATAGAAGGCAACGGTCGGAACTGTACATGGCAGCGCAAACTTGCAGACGGGTATGCAACTCGATGTACGCAGAATAACATGATCAGCATTGAACAAACAATGTGCACACGCACACCTTCAGCCACATCTTCCACACCGGTTCTTAAATGGATAGTATCTCGCATGAAGCAATGAACAATGCCGTAGCATTGTTTCCAGGGCGAAGGAGATCTACACGAATCAGATTTGCCAATTGTCATGAGCTGAATAGATACCCCATAACGCAGGAAGCAACGAGCAACGAAAGCATTGCGATAAAAGTTATTCTTGAACTGTCAATTCTCTCTCCTGGATTCGATTCTTAGTCATGGTGATCAGGGAAATTCATACATGGTAGCCTCATCTGCTTTCTCGCCTTTTACGCAGCGCCTCATTCAAGAAATCGCCAAAATTAACCTAAAAGGGTAAGGTGCTAGGGCAAGGGTTCCTGTGGTTGGACAAGGGGAAGAGCCGTTTCTAGGTCAAGGCTTAGAACCATAGAGATTTCATACCTATTACCAAACAATCCCAACAACCATGATAATCCGTATCAAGGATGCATAACCCCAGCTATAAGATCTTGGTACTCATTTTCCATCTTGCTCTAAACGGAGGAAAAGTTTGCGAAGATGGGTACACATCTGATATCCGTCATTCAAAGTGTAACACTGAGAATGAAGATCTCTTTAAATCACCTTCAGGGTGCCCTGTCAAAGACGAGACTTTCGATCTGAAGATCAATAAACTGCCCCCGTTATCCCCATTTATATCTCAACCTCAATTTATTTTACGGAGATCCCGTGTTTATCATCCCCACATATAAACAGATCGGACTGAGCAGTGGTTTGGCGCAGGGCGCTTGAAGTATCTGTCCGATACCGACATTTCAAGGCTATGATGTTTTTTATTCCAAGGTTCTTAATTTAGGAACAGCAGTCGGTACATCAGTTTCAGATTTTGAATTGATTGAGCTTACTGGAGATAAAGTTGTTGCTTGTCAGAGATATATTGTAGGGGAAGAAGTGCTTCAAAGGTTAATATCAGGGAATATCACTAAGCCTGGAATGCTCCAAAAACTTCTCCATACATCAGCCTCACTTAACATAATACTACACAACACCACCACTTACCATCTCGAGCCTCACCAACTTCTACACCCCCTCGTACATGCGCCGACGGATAGAGCTGTGAAAGGATCCCGTCACAGGGGTAACCATTGCCATGGGATCCCCCATCTCTCGCATATCTGTCTCAAGGATGATTATTACCAAAAATAGCTTTCCAACGGATTTTTGCTTTTTCTCGGGCTTCCATTTCCACTCCTTCGACGGGTATCATACCGACGCTCATATCCGTGTATCTGGGTCCATTGCTGAGAGGCAAAAGAAAGAATTATACAAATCTCACATGCATCCTTGAACAATATATATATCAAGGGTTCATTAATTGTGGTGCCTAAATATCTATCCTGAAAGCGAATTTCTGAAACTTTTCTACAGTTGATGCTCCTTACATTGATATGATTGATATCAGGGATACATGAGCTGGAGAAATAAGAAGCGTAAACTCGAATACCCCATCTTGGATACCCAAGATCAATAATAGGATCTACATATAGATGGATACGTAGATGATAATTGGAAAGGCCCTGATCGACCAACTGACCCAGCAAAAAGTACACTTCCGTGAATCGAGACTCCTATCCATGTTAAGGAATTCGTCGCTCTTTTCACAGGCTGGGGCATGATGAGGGGAAAAAACAATCCGAGTGTAACACTTTTCTATCTGCCCTTGTTCTGAACTCCCATCTGACATCCATTATATAAAGCCTATCCAACTTTATGCCTAGTAACGATGCACGACTACGCCATCTGTTTCGGTGCCGACGTGCAAATCTCTGTCCAAAACTTTATCTGTAGACTATAATTTAGAGCCTGTAACATTTTGACATTAGCCCTCCAGTATCCTTCATATACAAGTTCAACCCAGCTTAACCTTTGACAGCTGGCAAGCTATTCGCCCTAACTAATCTAATTCGATACACTAGCGAACGTTTTCTCATCAAATATCTGGTGAGCTAGGGAGCATTCATTCGCTCGCTCGTGTTCGTTCAGACATGGATCAAGGCACTTCCACCTCCTTCTTCCAACCATCAGCCACTGAGCTTGGACAACCTTGGAATGCAATAACAACCTTGGAAGCAAGAAAATTATTCCAATACAAGGTGCAAGGCGGAACAACCCCACAAGCGCAGCGACGCAAAACTAGGTAGGCAAGCGAAAGCAAGTGCCCGTAGATCATGGCGTAGGCCCGGAGCAAAGCAGTGGTGATTGGATTGCTTGTGCGAGTAGTTCCTTTTTAAGTCCAAGGAGGCGGCAATTGAGGAGCTGGCCGAGGATTTTCCGTAAACAGTTGAGCAGTTGGACTACCTAATACCTACGGAGTATGTACCTAGCATACAATATAGACAATATAAGAGAGTCGTTTATACGAAATCAGCATTTCTTCTTCGGAGACTGTGTACAAATTCAAATTCATCTTGCGCACAACTTGTTCTCTTGGCTTTCGCTACCAAGTATTGAAATGATAATTGGAGATTTCGTTTGCTTTTTCCAGTTTGAACCCTATCCCCGTTCCCATCTCCGTTTCTTCAACGGCTGAATTTCGATCATCGGGACCAGCTAACAGGAACCACTCAAGACAAAAAAGCAAACAAAAACACACTTCAGTTCCCTGCACCTGAAACTTCATTCACCGATTCATCTATCTCTTGCATGCTCTACAATAGCCACAAGATTTACACAAGGTGAGTAATCATCAGCGGGAATCTTTCCGTAGAATTCCCATTCGGTGTGATATGCATCATGTTCGTTCACTTGCTTGCTTTTGCTGGGTAATAACACAACCCTGCTTCCATGTTGTCCAAATATTGGATTCGGATTCTGCAATAGTACTGGTACATGTGATTGATATGAGCCCGGGTATGAAATACTGTTGTTATGTTGATTCAGCCGATCATCATCATAACAGCAAGCATCGCCCGTCTCAGAAAGCCCAACATCTAAATGTCAATATCGATCATTAGCAATACCACCTTATCCATCACGAATTTCCATTTCTGCAACCCCAGCGGATGGTACCGTACTCTGCCGCTTTCTGTTGTCCAACCACTGTCATCACCATTTAGAGTTCCATTATCGTTGTTCCAGATCTCCTGGGACATTGGGGAATCGGCTTGTATGGCTCCAGGTGACAAAGTATTGAATTGATTTGCTTTCCTTGGATACCGGTAGGAAGGAACAAGAAACATGACCCCCTGAAATCCCGAGAAATTACTTAACCTCACGACGATAAACGTGCCGCTTCTGTTGTACCCGCCTGAATCACCGTATTGTACAACATTAATATCGACAAAAATCTCTCTGCACGTCGTGACTGCAGCAATCCCAATGACGGATATTACAGCAACATTGAAGAGCCCTTATGAAACATAACAATTCCGCACACAGCAGGATGAAGAGTAGCACAGCATAAAACACGAGTCACGATGTTAATAGTGCCTGCATTGCATGGCCCCTGTCAGCGCCAAGTTTTGCCAGGGGGATATCGGCGACCATATGCTACTTTCCTAAATGGATTGGGTGATGATTTGCAGACTTGGGGAGACCCGATGGGCTGGATCAAACGTTATAGTTTTGACGAGTAGGATCACGACTTTAAAGCTTTGATACTGTGTGACATTGCGATGAAGGGGGTGATGTGATGACACTGGCAGGGTGAGAAAAGTGGTTTCCCCGGAGGAGATTTATTGATATTGGGTTGCGATGGAGACTTCCTGGAGAGTCGGAAGGGCAGATCTACAAAATCGTGAATTA